AACTTGTTAAGAAAAAATGTTCGAAAATTCACAAAATTAAAAATTATTTGAATAAAAGTAATTTATAGAAAATAAATTTTTTGAAATTGAAAATTTTCAAGTAACTTTTTCGAGAGAGTTTCAAAAATTTACAATTTATATTTAATGAACTTTAATTTGAAAAAATGTCTACAATATTCTCAAAATTTACCACTCGAACAAAAAGCATGAGTTTTCACTTTCAAAATTGTAAAATCTATTGAATTTTTTTGCAGAATCAATTTCCACAACTGTAGCGCCCACGCCCGCCATCGCAGAGCTTCCTCTACAGTTTTTTCCTTTCTATTTTTACATTTCTCATTTCGAGCGCAAAACGCAAATAAAAAGCGAAGTACACTTCTATTGGTGAAAAGTGCATAGCATTGCATGACAACCACAAACAAGCGCGTCGACGAGCAAATGCACGTAAAGAACGACGCTGCTGCCGAGCGTGCAACTGTCGGCGTTGCATGCCTGCACTCTAAAGTGGTTGTTGGCCCAATTAAGGGTCATTGCTACGGCTATGGCTATGACTGTGGCTGTGCGCTTGTGGCGAACGACGCACGGCAAAGCCAAAGGCAAAGACTGAGGCTATATGCTGACTATGACTGCCACTTGGTGCTTGGTTGTTGGTTGTTGGCTGTTGGTCGCGGCCATTGCACGACTGTCAGCAGCATTGGCGGCGGCGCGGCACGGCAAAAGTGCATGTATGTATGTATGTATATATATTACTGTATGGAAAGTAAAGCAAAGCTGTGTGTGGCGCGTTGCAAATATATTTTAAAAAAAAAAATACTAAACCGTAATTGGCGGCATTTATTTGTATGTATGTAGATATAAAATAATAGCGCTAGTGTATAGGTGTGTACTTTTATGCTTGCTTTTGTATGCTTTGTATTGACTAAGGTATGTATGACAGGGCGTATGAGTAACAAATAAGTTCACTTTTAATTTATGGTCAACATACAAGCGCACACGCGAGTTTTATGCCACAAAACAACGACAAGAATAACGAAAATATATATATTCATTAAATAGCTGCCACAGTTCTTATCGAATACTTAGAATTTTTTATTGTGTGTGTGTGTGTTTGTGTGTATAGAAACTCCATTGCACTGCTAAACTTTACATATGTAACTAGATAAAAGTTTTTGAGGACAACGCGATTAGTTCAGCCATAAAATATGCTGAAATGCACTGCAACATACACAAGCACATATACCTTATATGGACACCTATACATACATATATGTACATATACATATGTATGAATGCAACAAAGTTCCAAAGCTCAGCTCGAATGAAAGTGTAAATAGACACATGAAGGTTGTTGGCTTGATACAATAATATAGAACGTTTGTAAGTACTTGGAATAGGTACTTTATATAGACTGTAAACCGCGGCGCACACATGCATAATATTCAATATATTCTACAATTAATGGAGAAAATTCCCAGTAATCATACTAAAAATTGTTTCAATACCGGGAAGCCGAAAATGAAATATTCGGGAAAAATCAATGTTTTTACATGAATTAGAAAATTTTAATTTTTTTGCTAACAATGCGATCCCGAAATTTCGGGATCCCAAAAATCAATTTTCTATTGCACAAATTAATTTAATATTAGATATACATACATATGCATCTTTAAATATTGCTTTTTTTGAAAAACTTAATGCCGAAATTTCGGGATCCCGAAAAATATATTTTCATAGATTAATTTTTTTTTTTGAGGATAACGAATTTTTATCACTAAAAACCAATTCCGAAATTTCCGGATCCCGAAAATAATTTTTTTGTTGCACAAATTCATGTAATTTAATATTTTGTTAGGTATGTCTTTAAATACTGATTTTTTATTTTTTATTTTTTTTTATTTTTTTTTTTTTGAAAAATGAGTCCCGAATTTAGGTATCCCGAAAACTATATATGTAAATGTATGAAAAAAATTACCAAAAAGGATTTGCAGATTTAATTCATAGTTTTTATTCACGTACTAAGAAAATATGTCCAGAAAATTATAGAATTTTAGTATGTCGCTATAGTCAAAGTTTCACCAAGAAACTTGTTCCTAAATTAAGTAACTATTATGATCTGAAGTATGATGATATGAAATTTTCGGAAGCAAAAGTCGTAGCAAAACTTTAGATTTTATTTAATTTTTCCCAGATTAACAACTGAGGTAAGCCAAGGTTTTGTGAAATAAGAGGCTTCCAGAAATCATTTTAATCGAGTCTCGAAAAATTTAATTAGGAAGTATTCCGAAATTTCGGAGTGAATTATTTACGTAATTTTTTCAAAAATAATCATGGAAAATTATTTCAGACAACATGTCATCTTTAATAAAGATTAAAAAAACAGTCCGAAATTTCGGAGTGCACAAATTTACGTTATTTTATTAAAGAGGTATATAGAAAAACGTACGCGCAGTGCTTTAGACAGGACTTTAAAATGTAATCCAACTTTTATGATAAATAAAATTATTCCGAAATTTGTTTGGGGTAATCATGAGAAAACATTAAAACCTAAATTTTAGCTCAAAAACATTCCGAAATTTTGGAGTCAGTACATTTACATACGTTCTTCAACTCTCATGTATTTTATCGGTACTGAAAATATATTCCCCAATCACTCTAACCAAAGCTTAAAAATTATTTTAATCATTACTTCAAAATACACCTGCAATACCCTGAAATAATGCCTGTACTTTGCCTGTGAGAAAAAGAGCAAAAGTGGCGCTGAAAAGGTAGCCATTGCGAACAGGAAACCAGCAGCAACGGTTAGCTGACCGAAGCAATAGCAAAAATATTTCAGCGAAAATCAATTGCGACACAGCATAGCGCCGACTAGAGTGAAAATAAAAAAATAAAACAGATGGAAACAAACTACAAATACATATGTACATACATATATAATACAGACGTAAAGAATATGCAACATTGGCGTTAACTTACCCCATAAAATCGTCGGGTTGGTCAGTTTTCCTGCTTTTCTTTTCGTTTATGTTGTTGTTATGTATATAGTTCTTATTGTTGGTGTTGTTGTTACTGCGACGCGGCTTATGTGTATTGCAGTGGCTTCGTCTACACCCAGTTGTTGTTTCTGTTTCGAGTGCAATTTTTATTTTCGCGCTTAGGGCATGCAACAACTCACTTACTTCATTTTCTGTAAACTGCTTTGCTTTTGTTTTTGTTGCGGCAATTTGTGTCGCTTGCGCTTTCCTTAGCACTGCTGTGCGCCTATTCAATATTGCTGCTGTTGAGTGATTTGCTGGTGGCGTTGAAGTGGCGTCAACAAAACTGCAGCGATTGCCGCACGACGAGTTGTTGTTATTGTTGTGGTGATGAGTGTTTGCCAATTGTTTCAAGTTGTGTGGAAAACTGTGAATTGCATAAAAAATAAATGATTTTTAACATTTTAAATATGTGTAAGTAGATTATGAACACTATGATACCGAAATTTCGGTATTCGAGATTTTTTTAAGAAAAAAAAATTCAATGATTTGTACTTAAAATTGTTTATGACAACAATACTGTCCCCGAAATATTCGGGATAAAACTTTTAATATTAAAAATTAAATTCTCATGCTATATTACATAGATATGTATATTGAAATTTTTAGAGGTGCTTAATTTTATAATCCCGAAAATTCGGGATCCCGAAATTTTTCGCACTATATTTAAGCTGTGTTTATTTAAGCAAGTTCTATATGGAAAATAAAATATGATCACGAAAATTTAAGAATTCCTTGTTTCGAAAATAAAATAGGATACCGGAATTAAGCATATTGAATTTTTTGTGTCGAACAAAAAATTCGGTTTTTTAGTTTAAAAATACGGATTTTTATCAAAGCAAACTAATTTGAAAACTTGATTTTTAAGGTGCTTAAATTTACAATCCCGAAAATACGGGATCCCGAAATTTTTCGCACTATATTTAAGTTGTGTTTATTTTTATGGAAAATAAAATATGATCCCGAAGTTTTAAGAATTCTTTGTTTCGAAAATAAAATAGGATACCGGAATTAAGCATATTGGATTTTTATGTCGAAAAAAAATTTCGGTTTTTTAGTTTAAACAGATACAGATTTTTTACATCGAAAATGAAATACAATATACAATCCCGAAAATTCGGGATCCCGAAATTTGTTTACTATGTTTTACGATGAGCCAGCACATAAGCATAATGATTTTTTATGCCGAAAATCAAACATAATAACTTCTAGCAAGCCTAACACAGGCGCCAAAAAGCAGCGAGAATGCGAGTCTGAAAGACCTTTCCACGCAAGAATGCAACTAAACTGATGTGAAACCGACCAAGAAGTAAATTTTTGATTTCTAATTACAAAAAGTTAAGAAGACAACATAAAAACTATCCGGGGCGCATGTAAGCTAAATTCTGAAAATGAAACACAGTCGCTTTAATTGCATAACACCGTAAAATGCATACCTCACGTTCAAAATTTTCTTCAAAAACAACTTTCAGCTCTCAGAATCAAAATAACGGCACATGTGGCTTTCCAAGCGCCATCTAACGGTAGATAGCAGCACTCAAGCGCTGCAATCCGCACACCAAGTGCCTAACTGCAGCTGTCATAAAAGTCAAAAATGCAACAGTTGCAGCGCTGACAGCAAAGAAACGGTAAATAAAAACAGAAACGTAGAAAAATTAGATCACAAAGCAAACGTCAAATAAAATGAAAATGGCGCGAAAGTTTTTCCATTATGCCACTTTCCACGTACTTTCGCATTTATTGAATTGCTCTTGCTAGCGAAGAAGGCCGGCTGTTGCAGCAAACCAACAGTGCAACGGAGATGAGTATCGATAAACACGGAAAGTGCATTGTTGGTGAAAGAGAGAGGGAGACAGCTAGAGCTTGCGGGAGCAAAACAAAAAAGCGAAATGCTCGTGTGAAAGAAAATGCGGAAGTGTTTTGGCTGCAACATGCGCGCTGATAGCTGGGTGTGAGCAGCACAAACAATGCCGTTGTTATTGTTGCATATGTCTACAAGCTAGCGCTGAGCTACGGGAAGACGACAAAGTGCTGAGGTTGTTGGTATTTGGTATAATGCAAGGGCTTGCTTGGACGTCGGGTCGTGAACGGGTGGAGATGTTGTTGTTTGGGTGAATGCTTGCAAACGCGTTCACTTTCAATTGCGCAGAGCGAGCATATTAAGAGAGACTGTTGCGAGCATGATTAATTTCTAAACGAAGAGTAAGATAGTTAATTAAAGAGTGCTGGTGAAAGAGTTATTTAAGAGCATAACTTTCAAAGAGTGCAGTGTAAGGAAGAGTAGTTTTATGTGTATTGAAGAGTAATTAATTTAAATAGAAAAAGCAGGATAAACAAAAACCATTAGTCATGGAACAATATTTCTTCCTTTTGAAAAATTAGGAGGTTATTTTTATAATTGCACGTTTTGGTGATGAGAATTTCTATATAATGAAGAACATATATATAACGAACAGACTGAAAGAAACACGTTATAAAAAATTGAAAACAAAAAAATGTGTGCCAGGCAGTCCCAAGTCCCAGTTTTGAACGATGAAGCTAATTTTGATTAAAAATGGTCTAAAGTAAAAGAATCTTTGGAGCTTACGACATGTAGCTCTACTTTTTATACTCAAAAACCTAAGAACCTTAAGAACTATGATATGAATTCGCTTATCGGAAGTCCAACAGAACGCAAATTGAAAAGCGATAGGAGGATAAGAACCTGGAATGATCCGACACAGCTAAAAAAAAAACGTTTAATTCGAGTTGAAGCGAAATGTGTGAAATGAATTGGTATGCATCCATACCAATTCAGTTTTAAATCCAGCTTAGTTCCTCTTCTTTGGTGTAAGATTGGACTTTGGATACCGAACTTATTCAATTTGAATAAACTATTCGAAAATTTCAGATATTTTTATAAACTTAGACTGAATGAGATCAGAGATTAATCGAAGAATGGCCAAGCAATCACACATTGGATCAAAAGCTAACCTTAAACGAAGACCGAATTTTTGTCTACCAGCGAAAGTTCCATAAACCAAACCAAACAGTGAATAGAAGCTATTTTAGGGTAAGGGACACGATACAATGATTGTTCCAGAATGTAGAAATTAGTCATTGAAAGGTTAGGCCCAAACTATATACTTCATGAAAATGTGATTATATTTGAGATTAATTCAGGCTTTATAGTGACAATGCTACGGCTATGGACCACAAAGTTCAATAGAAAGGACTTTTAACTTAGCTGGCAAGAAATGTTGATAAGACCGATCGAATCGCTATTAAGGTTTCTGGAGCAAGATATCGATAACTTGAATGATTGAAGTCTATTACGAAGAAAATACTAGCACTAAGTGTTCGGAAGTATAAATCCAATATAACTAGAAATATTCAGTAAAACTAATCTGATCTAGCCTAACAAAGCCAGCCAAAACGCCTGTGTGATAGTGATAGAATTACGTGGGATGATAGAGAAAATTCATTACAGTTCATTCAAGCTTTGTAAAGATCTCACTAAGTCAACTGGAGCCTAACAAAGCTTTAATGTATTCCATTACAGTTTATTGAAACTTTAAAAATCAACCTTAGCCAACTGGAACCGAAAGAAGCTTTAATTTACCTCGTTTAAAGCCCCTCTTATTATGCAAGAGGTTGCTGATAGCAATCTATTTTTTTTTTTTTTTTTTTAATTGTTGCGGTTTCTTATTTCAGTTTCAGGTATATGTGCTCTCTAAACCCTCCTCGTTTAACGTTTTCCAAATACTTCCTGCGTCGCTGCTCTTTAAACACAAACAAATATTTACAACCAACTATTTCTCTTCATAGCTGCACTTATCTCGCCACTCTTTGAGCCCACTAACAACGCTCTTTAGTGCAATGCCTGCAACTATTTACACCAAACGACTGCTAGTGCGAGGGCATGCGCCTCTCCAAGCACACACTCATCCATACGTACACATACATATATGTACATGTGCCGTTCGTCTGTATTGGTGTCGCTGTCTCGTCAACGGTCTTGGGTCTTCCTGAGTTCGTTGTTCCATATGGGCCGGTCGCATTTGCAGTGTTGCATTTTCTGTGCCAATCGGTTTCATTAACCCCAACAACAATAGCAACACAGCATAGCAAGCACATCAGCGCGCAGCCATGCACTGCACAATAGCAGCAACAAAAAAAAAAAAGAAAAAACAATAACAACAACAACACAGACAAATGGAAGAAAAAGCGTAGCAATATCGGTGGTTAGCAATGTTGACGGGTCGTTGCAACGTCATCATCATCGGTGGCCAACCTCAACTTAAAAGGTCAACAAAGTACGCATTGACAAAGAGGGCGCATTGCACGGCACACACACACACACACACACATGCATACTTACATACATATATAAATGTATACATACAGACATAGTAAGTTTCTGTATACATTTATGCAACGCTTGCAGTTCGTAATTGCTCCTGGCGCCTCGTCCTTCGCCTCTTCTCGCTCGTCTGCACATTAATATTATAGTAGTAGTCTGCTAGTTGGTTCGCCGGCCTTTAGCCGCACACCACAGGCTCCGCGTATTTCCCTATCATGGTGGTCAACGGTTGCTCTGCACAGACTTTTTCCTTTTGCTTCTTAATTACTTCTGTTCTTTAATTGGATTTTGTTTACGTTTCGTGCAATTTTTCCTTGCTTTGCTGCATTGCTTGGAATGTGGTGTATTTGTTGTTGTTGTCATAATGGTAATAAATGTGTATTCGCAATTTACTCACTGTACTTTAGTTACAACTTCAGCTGGCAGCGCGCCTAAAAATAGCCTGCAATCTTTAAAGTTGGTTTCAGTAAATGTTGCATACTTTTTGGTGTAGTTGGCAAATGGGTGCTGAAGTTTGATTTAAAGTCTACTATAATCTTTCATTAAAATTTCGCATTTCAGCGCGTTTCTCCGTCAAAAGCTAAGCTTAAGAGAGGACTTCTAAATTCAAGGATCCCAAAACCGCACTTCTACAATGTAAGCGCAGCTATTTTAACATTCTTTGCACCAAAATATTTTCTAATGGTAATACAATTCACAAACAAAATCTCTTGATTAACGCCATAGTTAAAATGTACTCCGACTCCAACTGCGAGTCATCCGAAAGTGACACTACGACAACAATAGATAAAATTGACTCCGTCTCCAATTCCGAGCAATTTCACAACTCTTCCGTTAAACCAGACTTGTAAAGGTTTTAAAACTACTGCTATAGCCCCGTTACTCATTACAATATAAGATAAAACTGACTACGACTACGACTCCGACTCCGAGTCATTCGGAAGGAATACTATGACAATAATGTCACAACTCTCCACACTTGTTTGTGCTCTAAAACTATTTCTTGCCCCTCATAGTTAAAATTC